CCCACACTCAATAAATTTTGGCTAAGTCAGGAACATACAACACAAGAGAGATTAACTTTGTACCTGACCAAGTTTGGACAGCAACATCCCCCATGCCTTTGACCTCCATGAGCTCACCATTTCTATCTTTACTTTGGAACAATATGATCTATCCAGGTTCACAAAGTTTTGCAGGTCTGCAGCCATATGATTTGTGCAGCCGCTGTCAATTAACCAAGCTTCACTGCTGGTTTGTGCCGGTTGTAACAAGTGGCCACAAAAATTTGTTCAGCCTCTTGACATGTGCTGATCCTCCCCAACTGCTGCTTGCTGTGTTGGCTGGTTTCCTTTGTTCTTACACACTTTTCAATATGCCGAATTGCTTGCAACTCCTGCATTGTATACCAGGCCTGAACCAGCATCTTCTCTCCGGATGCCCTTCTTTTACAATGAGTACAGGCTGGAAATTCTTTCACTCCACCAGCCCTTTCCCATGTTACTACTTTTCTTTCCCCTTTCTATCTCCAGCGTACTTCCTTGTTTGTGTCTGTGCAGGTTTGCCTTTGAAGCTTGCAACAATGCACCCTCACTAATGTCTTCTTGCCTATGAGTCTCCTTTGGTCTTGCGCTTGGAGAGAATGAACAAGCTTAGTCAATGTGATCGAGCATGCTAGAGTCCTCCAAAGAAGAAATTTGGCCTCAAATCTTTCCGAAAGACTTACCAAAACTTTTTCACAACCCTTCGGTCAGCCAACTCCACTCCATAAGCCTGATTTGTGTGACAACATTCATTAGTCTTCAACATAATCCTTTACTTTTTCAGTTTCCTAATCTTTGCATCTCAAATTCCCCTTAGATTAAAAATCTGCATATCCTTGTTGTAGTGCTCCCCATGTACTCTTCTCTCAATTTATCTCCATGCTTCTTTGGGGTTTTCGTATGCCATGATTCTTGTAAAAACAAGATCAGTCACAGCAGCATGTAGTGAGAAAGAGCTCTTGGAGCTTTGGCTGTTCTTCCTCATGCATCCTCAACTGGTTCAACGTGGGATTCTGTCCAAGTGGTGGTGGCTACGGTTTTCTTCCACATACTGCCACAGTCCCTGTCACGAAGGAAGGCTTTCATCTTTATTGGCCAGATGTGGTAATGTTCTCCATTGAACACCGGTGGAGCCATCAATGTAGATTGAGTTGTTATGCTCTGTTTTTCACGTCTGATCAGAGAAGAAGGAAGGCAGATGGGTTAAGTTTTTGCTGAGAATGAGTGTGTTTTTGAGTCGTAAACGAAGGTTAGGATGCTAAGTTTTTGGTTTTTTGCGATGGCTCTGATACCATTGTTGGTTCAGCCGGAGATCATCAAAGAGAAAGGAAAACAGAGCACAATAAAAATAATGCAAAAGCTTCATATTCATTGAAGGAAGACAGTATATAACACGTAACAACTCTCTGCTAATTACACCAACTACAGCAGACATTACAGCTTTCAAAATTCAAATGTTACCACACATTTACTTCTAATACAGTTACTTAAATACCCTTAATTTTCTAAACAAGATATTACACAAAAAACACTCCCATGCACGTCAAAAAACACGCTGCATGTAACCTTCTGCATCTTCCACGCACAACCTGCAGACTGAGCATTTGACACATTTCCAGCAAAGCATCACTACATCAACAGTCCCAATATGGTCTTTTGAGAGATATATTATCCTCATCATCCATTTTCGGTTTTTTCCAGGCCAGTATAATGTTAGAAAAACAGAAATAAAGCTGTATATGTCATTTCCAACTGTCGACCTGTAATTTCATCTGATGTATTAATGAAATTGTATTACCCAAAATGGAGTTCTCCGGTCAGCGATAAAAATATTATTTGTTTTATTACAGATTGCATTATCTGTTATATTAACTGAGAGTATACGAACTCTTTAATGCACAGTGGAATGGGTTTCAATGGTATTTACGTTTTTGCTTAATATTCATCAAATCAACAAAATAAACAACCAACCATGAGCATAAAAGTAAAGCACACATAGATTCACATGGTTTGGCTAAAAATCATTTTAGCCTAACCATGGGACTCCGTCAAAAGAAGCCAATCCACCGTAACAAATACAATTACAAGCAAATCCAGAGTTGGGTGTTAAGTACTACAATGAAAGAACACTCCCTGTTCTAAACGACTCTAACGCCACTCTCTGATCCCTTCAGTGCTCTGCTACAGAAAGCTTCCACCAAGACACGGCTGGTCAGTTCAAGCTCCACATGATCTTCAATGGCGGAACTCTTCGTTCGCCCAGAACTTGATTCTCTCAAGTTTTCAATGAATGGAACATCGTCCCATAACTCAATCAAAGTAATATAATTGTCAATAGAGTCAACAACCAATATGAACCTGGGCAAGAATACTCACGAAAAATTCAGAGCAAAAAGAAGGCAAAAACCAGGTTAGTTTGCAAGGAAGAAGATGACCCATTTTATATCCTTGCAAAACAAATCTCAATCGTACACCTGGAAAAACCTTTTTGGACCACTCTAGAGAGAGTGACACCGTTAAAGAGACGTTTTGTACAAGTTTCATAAGGCAATAAGATAAAATATCATAGATAATGACACGTGTACAAAGAGAAAAGTTTAATCATATGTTACCCACCTACTAGAAATGTCTCGGCATGCGTAAATGATAAAACGGGAATCACAATTGTGCTAACTGTCCAAAGTGCATGTATCCAAATAATGTTCACACATTTCATAATTTGGCAAATAAAAACTTACATTAATTTTATATTTATTGTTATTATTTTCTTGTGTCAAAATTTGTAACAATTAATATCACTTTCTTCATAGTATCAGGAGTTTAGAGAAGGCATACGCTTTAGTAATCAAAATATATCAATATCCAAGAAATTATGATTTATAGTATAGATTTCTCAATTCCTTATTTCTCTTAGAAAATAATTTCATCTCTCAACAGCAGACTTGAAAGTATGGTATTTCATTTGCATTTTTTTTTTCTTTACTATCATATAATTGTAATATTGTTCATTGAATTATAAACTGAAGGATAAAAGTCATTATACTTCTAATTAGGGTGTATGGTTCTTTTTTTTCGATAATATAAACTTCTGTGTTAAGAAAACCTTCAGTAGCTACTTCACTCCGTAACTGAAAAGTAGTGGTTTTTGTATTAAAAGTAATCAAGCCAAAGTGATGTCGTTTTAGTCTAGAAGTGATGTAGTTAGCTTATGTTTAATTGTTATAAAACAGTTACTGTACATTAAGCTTAGTGTTGTTGAATCTATTGAAATCCAATAGCCATCTTCCCTCTAATTTCCTCTCAAATCTCTGTTCGAACACCTAAGTTTTACATGGTATTAGAGCTATTGATTACGTCAATGTCAGAAAAGTCTGAAAGCTCTAAATCATCAATGATTTTGTACGATGATACAAAACTCACTTAATTTTCTAACATTTGTTGTTTCCTCTAATCTTTAGACTATTAATCCAAAGCTTATCGAGACAATTATCATTCTTAGCGCTCTTAAGTCTTTCAGTAGTTGGAGGCCATGATGAATTTGATGATCGTCTCACAGGTTGGTTCCTTGTCCAACTCCATTGATAGCTTACAAATGAGATAATCCTAGTGATAAAGATGTGATGATCTTATTAAGGAAAAAAATTATTCAGCTTATACTCTGTGGAAACGAATTGATAATTTTTAGTTAGCTGATTACTTGCCTCAATTTCTGAGAGCATGTAGACAAATATAGAGTGTCAATTCTCTATGAAATCGGCTTATACTTGAAAAAGAGTTCATCACTGACTCAAAGGCTAGAGCACTTGTTCAGAAAAATATCGAAATGTTAAAACATGATATATAAATGCCTATTGATAATAAAACATAATTACAAAGAGTCAATTTACAAAATATGATTGGCTCTGGGCACCTACTCTAACACCTTCAACGTGGGTGGCAATTTGCATTGAAGCACTAGGCTTACTGTTCAAAATCATCACTTTCTCATTAGGCTCATACCTAAATTTCCGTGTATTCAAGTCTTGAAAAACTTTGCATAGGCAGAAAACATTAAGTTTGGACAATATATCAAAAATGTCAGAAAAGGACTTATCCCATTTGCTTTTATTTAATTGACTTGGAATAGCACAAGTGGAAAATAAGGCTTAGGTGGAGCAACAATAGAACTAATGTCTTGAGTTTGAATAGGTGAACTCGATTGCTTCTCTTAGCTTTATCTTTGCTGCATGATCAATCAATCTTATTAGTCTCAGAATTAATTTCTTTAAATTACCTACTACTCCTCAGAGTCGTGTTGCTTTTGCTTGCTCAGATTGGCTGGTAATTTCCAGGAACATGTCCTACGTTGCCTGAGCTATTTTCCTATTTGAAATTCCAACTTCCTATGGATGCCTCTATTGTTGAAGTCTCTACTCATAGTTCTGATTCTTCTAGAGGCTTGAATGAAGCTATTCAGTGTCTCCACCAATGAAGGTTTCCTCTGTTGATTGTTAGAGCTTGCATGTTGTTGATTATTGCTCCAAGAGAAGATTGGGATGATTCCTCCAACCTGGATTATAAGTATTGGAAAAGGGGTTGTTAGGCCTTTGGTGTAGGAATTCATCACATTTGCTTGCTCTACTACTCTAGAAACCTCTCACTAGAAGGACAAATGTTAATTGTATGACCATTATTACCACAAATAACATACCTTGTAGAGTTACTTTGGCTTGTCCTTGTCCTATCATCATATTACACACAGTCTTATTTGCTTGGTAATTCTGAAACCTGCATTGTCAACTCGAGTTCTTGTTCACTACATAAATTCCTTTAGATCTTCCTCTAACACTTTTTTGCTGCAAATTTGCTCCAAGATCTCATATAGCTCATATGTCTTTGTGTAATCTTTTTTCCTATAGCACCATTTGCCACATTGTCAAGTATGCCTTGGCAAGCCTATGTCAATCCATCATAAAAAAAAATTGATTAAGCAATCTAAAGGATATCTATGATGTGGACATTGAACTAAAAACAATTTAAAACGTTCCCAAGCCTCATGGAGCAACTCACCTTCTATTTGAGTATAGGTAGCAATCTTACCATGTAGTTTAGTAGTCTTAGCATGATAAAGAATTACCTATGAATCCGTTGTAAACTGCATCCCACATGGTAAGTCAAGCTGGGGTCAAAGACATGAACCATCTCTTAGTTGCATCTTTCAATGTGTAAGGAAAACAATGCATCACAAATGATCTTCTGTCAAACTCTCCAAGGGAAAGTTTGAACAATAAGTAAAATCAAAAATAAAAGTTAATGGGTCCTCTGTGGCTAGTCATGAAATGAAGGTAACATCTAAAAGTGAATGTTCTCAGCTCGTAGTCCTTGTTGCATCATTCAAAACATAGCAAGATGATGGTGTTCCTATAGTAGGAATGCATATTCTTCATAGGATGAGGTAATTCAGTCATATCTTTGGTTCTAAGCTTCAATTGATGAATTTTCAAGGATCTCTGGTTCTATCCTCTTTCTATCAATCAAATCATTCTTCAACGTAAGGAAAAAAATTCTTTATCCACTGATACAGCAAAGAAAAAAAATAACACAAATAAAAAATAATACATAAAATTAAAGAACACAAAAAAAAAAAAAAAATTAACAAAACAAAGTACACATTTTCAAGAAAACTAAATAACTTTAGTCAAATCCCTGGCAACGACTCCAAAAACTTGATGAACAAATTCTACTTTCTCACAAGTGCACAAATCACTATCGCAGTGTAGTGTGCAAAAGCAAGGGGCGATCCCAGAGATTTGTAAGCAATTTACGAATCCTAATAACCTTGCCTTAAATAAAACTAATACCCTAAATGATTTAAAAGAATTATCATAATTCAAATGAAAAACAACTAATTAAAACTAAAGTTAAACCACTAGGTAAATTATCAAAAATCCAATTAACCAAACTAGGGTTCCAATCTCACCAAAACTATCCAGCTTTATGACAACCATCTAACTATTGTATCTTAATTCACTCTCTAGGGTTCACACTCACTAAACCAAGTATACTGTAAGGCTTCGGTATTAACCTAGTATCTTCAACCAAGACTAGTTAGAGCATATAGTCTAGCCTATGGTATAAAAACCTTTTAAACGCAGGAGTACTTAAAGTCATGAATAAAGGCGAATTTGTTAGAGCAATGCACAAATACTTAATCATTCATGAAATCATGAACCAAATAATATTCTGTCAAGGCGTATGTACAAAATACTAATCATTCAGTCACATGACCTCTTCAAGAATAACACATGATATATTTAAATCATAACACATACAACTAATAATTCACATTAATGGTTATCACACAATAAAGAAATCAAAGATTGAATAAACACAATGAATGAATCAAGAGTTCCATTGAATTAAAACAATAAATCGATGTCTAAACACAGAGCCTTCCAATAGGCTACATTGGATCCCTAGAGAAGAATTTAGTTACAAATCAACATGAAGAAAGCAAAATTATTCCCCCAAAACATGAATGATCCAAAACCCTAGGAAGAATCTCCTTTTCTTTCTTGCAAAAAAAAAAAAAAAAAAAAAAAAAGCCCTTTTAAAATAATTTACGATGCCTTGTTTATAGTTTTTGATTACTAAGGGTGTTTTTGGGAAAATATAAGTCAAAGTCGAAGTTGGAAAAGGTAAGATTTTTCCTTTCTTTGCAATCCACGTTGCGACGTCGAATTCTCCCATAATCCACCACTCGCTAAAGACCTTGTCACACCGCTGCGCATAATGCTTCAACCGTGGTATTAACTCTCTACCCAGATCATCTTGTTGTGTCACGACACAGCAAAACCCTATCGTGACGTCATCCAACAATTTCACATTCTTTCTTCTGCTTAACGATCTAGCTCTCACTTCAACACATCCAACACCTCCAACCATCGTGTGAGTATAAAATCACAATATTTCTGCCTAAAAACCTAAAACTCATACTCACACCCATGATTCTTGAAAATAGAAATATATAAAGAAACTTGTATAAAAATAATCCATTAAAGTCATGAATTCCCTACAATTTACCCATAATATCACTATATATATATATATATATGCACCACTCATCAGTAAGTTGTCCCTAGATTAAGTCTTCTTCAATCAATGGTAAGCAACTTTCTCCCACAGGATCTAATTATCCTCATTCTACAAACCATAATACATTTCCTATGCAGTCTTCTGACCTCTTTAAAACGATACCTTCTAAATCACCTCCATCACATATTCTCATTTCACCAAATACCTTGTCAGATACTTCTAACTAGTCTCCACTTACACATATTCCCATTCCCTGAAACCCTACTCAATCTCTTGTTACACTACCATCTAACAATTCTAACTCCACTCATCCACTTGAAGTTGTTCTTTGACCAACATCATCCTTGCCTACCAAATTACCTTCACAATTATCATCTCCATCTACATTATCACATTCTAATTTGTCTACCAAATTCCCTTCACCATTATCATCCCCACCTACACTATCACATTTTGATTCTTTACTTTCTCCACAAACCATCTCTACCATAGCATTTGTATCTGCTTGTCCACTTGAAATAGATTTAGTTTCTTCTTGCCCTTTAGCCACCTCTGAGAAATCCAGTTCCACCTCAAATACTCATCCTATGACCATAAGAAGTAAAACAGTAGCCAACACTAGAGCCATTGCTCTTACGGCTACAAGAACTGTTATTCCTAAACCAAACTCAGTAGTTGAAGCCCTTGCCATACCTGAATGGAACAGGCCATGCAAACTAAATATGATGCAATGATTCACAATAATACTTGGACTCTTGTCCCATTTTCTTCTGAAAGGAATATGGTAGGCAACAAGTGGGTTTTAGGACAAAATTTGATGCTAATGGTACTCTCCAAAAATACAAAGCTAGAATGGTAGCCAAAGGTTTTCAATAAACCCCTGGATTGGACTACTTTGAAACCTTCAACCCTGTCATTAAACACTCCACAATTTGAATCATATCACTCTTGCTGTTACTCATAAGTGGGACATTCAGCAAATAGATGTGAACAATGCTTTCTTGAATGGTGAGTGAAATGAGATAGTCTACATATAGCAAGCCTTTGGATTTGTTGATCTCATCAACTCATCTCATGTCTGCAAGCTTAATAAGGCTTTGTATGGCCTTAAAAAAAGCTCCCATGGCCTAGTTTGACAAGTTAAAGGAAGCACATTTGAGTAAAGGTTTTCATTATTCTGTATCAAAGTCGGGCCTCTTGGTTCATCATCAATATAGTCATATAACTTACATTTTGATATATGTTGATGATATTCTCCTCACTGGTTCTAATAGGGAATTTATTCATCAATTAGTCAAGGATCTCAATGTGCAGTTATCTCTAAAAACCCTTCGATCCCTTCATTACTTCCTTGGTTTAAAGGTGGCCAAAATAGATTTTGGTGTCCATTTAAGACAAACCAAATATATTACAGATTTACTCCTTAAGACACAAATGCTTGAGGCACATCCTTGCCCTACTCCTATGGCTCTTGGTACAAAATTGTTTCCTACTAACAGTGATTTGTTTGAAAATCCCACCTTGTACAGAAGCACTCTTGGTGCTCTGCAATACTTAGCTCTTGCCATACCTAATATCAGTTTTTTGTCAACAAGTTGAGCCAATTTTTACAAATTCCAACAACCTTACAATGGCAGGCTTGCAAAAGAATCCTTAGATATCTTAAGGATACTATCAACCATGGTTTGGTTTTTAGACCAACAGTTGCCCTACACATAAAGTGTTACGCTGATGTTGATTGGAGCAACATCCTTGGTGATAGAAGTTTTACCAATGGCTACTGTGTATTTAGGTCCTAAATTGATTCAACAGAGCTCTAAGAAACAAAAAGTGGTTGCATTATCCTCCATTGAAGTAAAGTATAGAGCATTAGCTCATACAACCACTGAAGTTGCATGACTACAAAGTATTTTATTGAACTTAAACTGACATTTGCCAAACCCTTTGTAATTTGGTGTGATAACGCTAGTGCTAGGGTATTGGTAACCAATCCAGTGTTTCATGCAGGGATCAAAGACATAGAAATAGATGATCGCTATATACGAGAGTAGGTACTTGCCAAGAAGATTGTGTTCAAGATGTGCCTACTAAACTTCAGATAGCTGATATCCGCACTAAAGCATTATCAAAATTTCAATATGACACTTTAAAAAGCTGAATGCTGTAGCTACTAATGATAAAGTTATCAGTTGAAACTGTTTTTTTCCTTTTTTTTTTTTTTAACCTATCTTTTCTCAGTTTAGCATTATTCAGCATTACTCATTCAGTTGAAATTCCTTGTGATAACTTCATAATTCCTTGCATAACAAGTAGTGAAAACAACGGTGAAGTCATGGAGTGAATTCTGTCGCTAATGTTGAGGCTTGTAGATGCTTTTTACATGACAGTGGTGAACACAGTGGAGAAATCTGAAGCGAATTTATCACTGATATTGAAGTTTGTAGATGTTTGCAGCAGCAGGATTTGTTGTAGCAGCAACATTTGTAGATTTTTTGCATGACAGTGGTGAAGTTATGCAGTGATGAAATCTGGAGTGAATTTGTCATTTTTTGACGAAGTCTGGAGTTAATTTCTTATTGATATTGAAACTTACAAATGATTACAGCAGCAGTAATTTTTTTTTTTTTTTTTTGTCGATAAAAGAGTGATTGAACCAAGTCAGGCTTATGGATTGCTGGAGATTCTCTGATCATTTGTTTTGAGATGTTTATTGTCAATTACTTTGGTATTACAGACTGACTTACTGCAAATGATACAAACAAAGCTGCAAATGTTAATTCTCTTCTCTGACAAGTTGAGCAAATATGCTACTGCCTACTGCAACAATTTTATTGATTCAAATCAAGCTAAAACTGTTAAACACATTCTAGCTTGAGGGAAGCTGTTGAGGAGGCCTTTCTTGTTCAAAGTCAAGCTGAAACTGTTAACACAATTTAGCTTGAGAGGAGCTGTTGAGAAGGCCTGCAGTAGCTACTTCACTCTGTAGCTTAAAACGTAGTCGTTTTTGTATTAAGA